AAATAAAAAATCAATCTTGGGCGCTGGACTTTCCGGCTTTTATTTTTTTAGAATATTTGAAATTTTACATTAGAAGACATCTTTATTTTACGAAAATAAATCCTTTTATAAATGCGAAAATCAAAAGCATCTACAATTACCCTTCTTGCACTAAAATCTCTAATCCTATTTTTTTACAAGTGTTTCTTAACCTGTTTTTTTTATCCTCTTCGCCACTGATCGGCTTGTTAGCCGCTTGGGCGATCGGTCACGTCTCTGATTACTTTTCCTTTTCATTTATCTTCGTCACCAAAAGATCGGCTCCCTAGCCGCCCGGGCGATCGGTCACGTCTCTGTCACACACTGTTGGCAAATACTGGGCATGCACCGGCTCCTGAATGTACCTGAACCCGCTCCAGTGTTGGTCAAGTCTTGTCTTGAAAGAGCTCACACTCGGTGCCGTCACAACACTCTCTGGTAGATTGTTCCAAGAGTTTACAACCCTCACTCCGAAAAAGTTTGCCCTCACGGTTTTCTGGACTTGCGGCTTCTTCAATCTTGAGCTGTGACCCCTTGTGGGGCGAGCGTCCGCCAGCTCCAAGTAAGGACACCCAACTGAGTAGTGCCCCCTGAGTTGCTTATACACCTCAACTAGGTCCCCCCTTGCCCGTCTGTAATACAAGCTAGGCAAGTTCAGGCGCTCCAATCTCTCAGGGTAGCTGAGGTGCCGAAGTGCAGGCACCAGTCTGGTGGCCCTCCTTTGAACATTTTCAACCAACTGACAGTCTCTAGCATATCTCGGGGACCAGATGGGGTGACAGTACTCCAGATGGGGAAGCACTTCACTCCTGAAGATCGTTACGAGAGACGGACCGTCTAGATATCTGAACGACCTTCTTATAAGATCCAATAATTTATTTGCCTGATTTACCTTCTTCTCGCAATGGCCCGAGAACTTCAGCTCATTATCAACATGCACACCTAGGTCCTTCTCACACACAGTCTCAACTAGTACAGTTTCTTCATCCCGTTGGGACATAAGATACGCCTCCTTACCGTTGGTACGCCCCAGGTGCATCCTCTTACACTTCGTGACATTGAGTCTCAGCAGCCATTTCTTCGACCATTCCTGGAGCCCACAGAGGTCCTTCTGCAGTTCTTCACAGTCCGCTTGGTTCTTAATTTCCCGAAATAACTTGGCGTCATCGGCAAACATTTGTATGGAGGAGTGTACAACGTCAGGCATGTCATTTATGAAACAAACAAACAACAGCGGGCCACTGCCCTGTGGTAGCCCACTTGTGACAGGTACAGATGGCGATTTCGTGCCATTAATCACCACACGCTGCTTGCGGTCATGTAGAAAGTCTTCTATCCACGCTAGAACATTTCCCCGAATTCCGTACCCTTCCAGTTTGATTTTCAGCCTTTCGTGGTGTACACTGTCGAAAGCCTTGGCAAAATCTAGGTAAATATTGTCGATATTACAACCCCGTTCCAGAATATGGGTCCAAATATCCAATACCTTGATCTATTGTGTTAAGCAGGAGCGCCCCGGCATAAAACAGAGTTGGCAATCTTTTACAGGGTTGTTTCGTATTAGATGTTCCATTGCGGCATCTCTGATTGTCATGGGTTGCGTTAGGCTTACCCACGCAACCAACTCCAAAGTTTGTTTTACTAGAGATAAGGTACCCGGCTAGGCATAACTGGGACATATATTTTCCATTAGTGTATGTTAGCCAGCCTTTAGGGGGGTGGGCAGTGAAACAGTGTTGTACTGTTCATCGCTTCACACCCAAAAACCTCATTTTAAGTAGTATCCCCTTGGTCATGAGTTAGTTAAGACGTCTCCATTCTCTCCCTCCTGAAGGGAGCGGGACACCACACCACACCACACCACACCACACCACACAGAGTCCTCCACCGCCACTCCGCCCTGTGGACCGTCTTCGACACGACACTAAGCGTGTTAACCTAGGTTGTTATCCCCGTGGAAATATCATGTGTGGATGCCTGGTTGCAACAAGAGCAATCTAGGCTGGCCTATCAAACCTACAGTAAATGGTTAATCAATTCACGCTTAGAGTTCTCCTGCACGACACCCGTCTACAGTGACCGTGATCGACACGAGACTTAGGGCCGTATTGATAGTCATTACGACGATAATGACGATCACGATCATCATCTCGATGATCGTGTGTCGGGATGCAACCACCCAACGCTGAGTGCCATATTCCTAGACACTTACATGAGCGTGTAAACACGGCAGCTCGTGTCGGATGGCAAAATTTTTTTTGGCCATGCACGTGTGCCAAATGTATTATTTCACATAATTAGAAAGACGATTTAGAGAGATATTTAGTTGCAATTTTATACCGGCACAATAATATATTGTAAAATATATTTTTTTATAAAATTGAACTTTATTATCTGTTCGAAACAAAATAGATAATTTTTTCATCTGAGTACTTGGCAACAATGTTTGTGCTCGTGTTATCAAACATGGAGGTAATAAGAAAACGTTCTGCAGCTCTGTCTGAAACCCAACGCATGGCACTTTTGCGCCATATTGAGCAAAGGCCAATCATTGAGGACAGGTCTACAAGCAACACCATAAATGATAGGAAAAGAAAGGCCTGAAAATATCAATTGTAAAAATTAAAAGTAAATAGATTTTTTTAACCAAAGAGTGGTGTTGTGTGTATCATTAAAACTGTGATGTAGCCGAGTATTGCAGAATTTTAGAGCAAATTATTTGTATTGATAGTAAGCTGTACTTATTCTTTATTTTATTAGTGACAGTAAATATTTAAGCTAAAGAATAAAGAAAATGAAATCTAATGCTTACTTAGGTCGTCATATTTCTGCCTGACACACACAAGACATTGTAGATCGTAAACCTTAGCTTATGTCTTGTTGAAAATGAAAATTAACGTTTATACTAAACTATATTACTGGACCAAAAACTGTGATATTTTCCTTGCTAACTCACGATAGAGTGAGCTCACTTGGCTTTTTTTTTTTTTAAGGGGATTAGCCCACCTGGGCACAGGTCAATGACCCACATCGGGGCCTGGGGGGCGAAAATTTAATAATAATAATAGTAATTCATAGTAAATAAAATTTATAATTAAAAGTAAAATAAAATAATAACAATAATAACAACACTGTAATAATGATAATAAAGAAAAAAAAATAATAATCAATAGTTAGAAACGCTATATGTACAGTATGTTGTCTTGTCAATAGTAAGAGAAACAATTGAGACCCTGCAATTGTGTGTAAATGAGGCAGAAAGACAGATCAGCAACGTGGGACTTGGTCACATATGGCAGCAGGGTCTACCATTCGATAACACATTATGTTTCCAATATCTTCCCAGGCGGTAGTACCTCCCTGTTTGGTAGCTGCCTACTACCTACTTGCCTCATTCCGGAAAACATAAGTGAATTTCGTGGTTCAGATGGTTGAAATTTTATTACTACTACGACAAAAATATTGTATGAATGAATAAAGATAAGAAACATACCTTAAATGATAACAGAAGTAATTGTTAATTGAAGATGAGGCTCACAGCACAGACAGCAGTCGTCATCGAAGTCGGAGCTGTGATGTCAACATTCCAATAATGTTTCAAGTTCTTAACAGTGTTGTGAAAGTTCATTTATCCGTATTAACACTTCTTTTAATTGTTCTTATTAAAAAAAATAATATAATTCGACGTAGACATCTGTAATATAAAGTACTGGAAGAACTTTCATAAAATATAATGATGATTATTATTTGTCGTAAGGCAGCTATCGGGTGGGGGTAGCCACCCGATGTTGTTTCCAACATTTCAGGGATATGCGTACGGTTCCCTTCCGATACCTCGATTATCGGGATGACTATTAATAGACCAGCACGAACACTATCAATTGGCATTGTGCTTCGTAATGACTAACAATCCGGCCCTAAGTGTGTTAACCTAGGTTTGTTATCCCCGTGGAAATATCACGTGTGGAAGCCTGGTTGCGACAAAAACAATCCAGGCTGGTCTATTGCACCTAAGTGGTTAATTCAAGTCACGCTTACCAGTTCTCCTTGCCGCGACAACCGTCTACAGTGACTGTCAGTGACGCGAGACTATGTGTGGTAACCCAAGAGTACTTTTTGTTGTTATGGACCGTGGAAAGAAGTTGTGCGGAAACCTGGTTGCAACAAAAGCAATCCAGGCTGACAGTAAATGTATCACTTGAAGAATTAAGGCTCTGTTAAGTCTTACCCATAGTAGAGTAATCACATATGTCACCAAGTTGGAAATTCTCTTTAGAAGATTAATTTTATTACAACGTGAACGTGAGTGAATCATATATCCATGCAAATTGTAAATCATTATATGGAAGCTTGACAAATAAATGTAAGTGCAATTATCTGCCCGTATTTGTGATCCTATCTTATTATTACTCAAGGTAATGACTGATTGGTTATGACAAAGTATAACCAATAACTTAGATGGATGTTGGAAAGTAATGGAATTCATTAAATCATCATTTATCAAGTATAAATCATGGAATGTCGAGTGGTGGAGTGAACTTCTACGTAGGTACGCCATAATCTCCTGTAAGTAACCAGTGTGAAGGTATCGAATTCTACGGTAAGAAATAAGAAACACAACATATTATAATCTTTATATAATATAATACAATACACTCCTACTACCACCGATCCACCTACAACCATGACACTGATAATACTCTCTACTACTTTACATGTTATGCTGGTCAGGCTCACCGGTTGTTCGTGGAGTGACGATCGCCCTTCTTGAAGATAGGACTCACATAAGCCACTTTCCATTCACTGGGGACCATTTGTTCATCCAGGCATTTACAAAAACATAAAAGTTTCAAATTATTCACTGTAAAATATTTTAATAGCATACAGTAAGTAGAAACTGTAAATCATATGAATTCATGTTTGTCCGCAGCGTAATGCTGGAACGCTTTGAGGTTATATATAGCGGGACCACGCGTCGTCTGCAGTCAGTCGGCATCATGAGCCATAAGGAGGCGGGAGCAATTGAGTTGGATTCTTCATCACACATCCAGGTGGGCGCAGGCCCGGACGCTGGTGATGACGGTCATTTGTCTCCTACCACGCACTCCAACAGTGTGTATGAGACCAGGTATCAAAAGTCACTTCGGCATTACCTGACCCGAGAAGCCTTACCAAAGGAGTCCCATTACAGAAACCTCAATTCCATTGTTGACGGATCTGGAGTTAGACCGACATTGGATGATCTCCACAACAACACCCTCAGAGAAGAACAGGTAAGGTTGCCCTTAACTTGACGTTCTTGTAGGGTAATTTATCTGTTGCGGTAAATAATAAATAAACATTACTCAGAATTTTCTAGCGTTGAAAATTTTATCCGGCATCTGGAAGTTTGCAGTTAAATTGTGACAGTACAGATAACTTTTGAACTTTATAATATATGGCAAAGTTTAAGGACAGTCACCCGTGTTATATAGGGCCAATTGCAAGATAAGCCGTGGTGTCTGGTGTCCCGGCGATCGTAATACAATGGAGTGAAAGTTTTGTGATTATTCAAGATGGGCCATGGTGGTACCCGACTGTCGTTTGTTGTTACTACTTCATCGTAGTGTAGTCAGGTGTACCAACTGCCGGAAAACTTGGGGGTTGGTATGCTTGCACCCTGAAAACGTTGTCAGTGGCACGAAACGTTTGCTCTTGCTACACGATTTACGAGCATAAAAAACTTGAATCCCAAGCTAAGGTGCACCTCTTGGATTATAAGCCAATTCTGGGAATAAAATACGATCATTTACAGTGAATATTGGTAAATAAAGCCTGTGACAACCATAAAAATGTAGGAATTGAGTGTAATATCTGTTCCTTTCTTCTTTATCCTTATTAAATCCAACAATAAATATATAAGTTTTTCATGAACTTGGGGTTGGGTGAGTGTAATAAAGAGAACTATGGCCTGTTCTGTGGATGAAGTCAGTAGAATGTAGCAAAGTACAGTATTAGGTATTATAATTTTGTTATGACAGTGATGAACTTACTGTACAGATGAATTGGGATAAAATCTTGAAAAAATATCACCATAACAGGAAATTATCTTTATACCAAAATTTTTACTTTCATATTATACAAGGCCAGTTATGTACAAGACATGAAAACTTGAGATAATGTTTCCTCCGGGTCCGACTAATTACCCAAATGTAGCCGCTATGAAGTCAAATAATGGTCCTACATGAATAAATCGGACTGCCAATCACTTCTCGACTAGTATTTGGTGTCACAAAGTAAAAAAAAATTGGAAAACGTAATTTAATCTGAGTTAATTGATCGGATGCATGTACCGAGGGAGCGAGTAATTACCCAAATGTAGCCAAATGTAGCCGCAATGAAGTCAAATGATGGTCCTACAAGAATAAATCGGACTGCCAATCACTTCTTGACTGGTATTTTGTGTCACGAAGTCACAAAAATTTGGTAAACTTAATTTAATCGAGTTAATAGATCGAGCGCATGTACCTAATCTAGCCTATCCTAACCTTACCAACACAACTCAGATTAAATTAAGTTTACCAATTTTTTTACTTTGACACCAAATAATAATCGAGAAGTGATTCACAGCCCGATTTACGCTTGTAGGACTTGGTTGGACTTTTTCCCCTTTTCCCCCACAGTTTGGTTGGTTGGACTTTTTCCCTTTCCCCCACGGTTTGGTTGGTTGGACATTTTTCACTTTTTCCCCCACAGTTTGGTTGGTTGGACTTTTTTGGTTGGGACATTTTCATTTTTCCTTTTTCCTTTTTTCCCCACGGTTTGGTTGGACATTTTCCTTTTTTCCCCCACGGTTTGGTTGGTTGGACATTTTCCTTTTCCCCACAGTTTGGTTGGTTGGACTTTTTTCCCTTTTTTCCCCCACGGTTTGGTTGGTTGGACATTTTTCCCTTTTTCCCCACGGTTTGGTTGGTTGGACCTTTTTCTTTTTCCCCACGGTTTGGTTGGTTGGACATTTTTCCTTTTTCCCCACAGTTTGGTTGGTTGGACATTTTTTCCTTTTTTCCCCCACAGTTTGGTTGGTAGGACATTTCCTCCCCACATACAAAAGATAATAGATTAGCTAATTGGACATTTTCTCTGGGTGTGGGTGGTGGCTAATGGCGTAGTGTTGGGTGGTGGCTAATGGCGTAGTGTTGGGTGGTTCTGGGCTGGATGCGGTTGTGGTGTCGAACAACAATTCTCGGGCTAGGGATCTCAGGTGGTAGTAGGAGCAGGTGTCGAGGATGGTGTGTGAGTGAGTGAGTGTGTAGGTGTACAGTGTGTGTGTGTAGGTTGTACATAGATGTGTGGGTTGTGTATAGGTTTATGTATGTGTGTGTATGTATGCGCGTTAGGTTATGTTACAACTTATAAGACTTAGTTTATATAGGCCGGAGGGAGGGGGGGGGGGATGCAGGCCTGACTAGATCCGCACCACACAGGTTATTTATGTTGGGATTGAATAATGGATGGTGTATAATGATGTGTTGAGGTTAATTGGTGTGTTGTCTGTCCCTGGTGCTCGAGGCCAACACATCACCCATGCTTGGAGGAGGTGTGTGTATGTTAATTGTTTTGTTACTTTTTTTATTTTTATTTTATTATATTGTTATTATTATTATTTTATTATTACTACTATTGTTTTTATTATTACTATTATTATTAAATTTTGCCTCTTCTATTATTAAAAAGAATATTTCTTTTCAGGTAAATGAACGGACGATGTTTTTGGCAGAGGAAACAAAGAGATTGTGAGTAATTTATTAAGTAGATCATGTATAGCAGTCATTACAGTGTACACCGCCACGCACAGCAGCCATTACAGTGTACATATATGGTAGTGGTAGTACTTGGTATGCTGGCGACGCCCTGCTTGTTGGCAGTCGTTCTCTAATCAGGGGGAGCACTCGCGTATATATCAACACACGGGTTGTCAACTGGCAGTGGGAACGCAAGGATGGAGAGAGAGAGAGAGAGAGTCACTATCACCTTAAGATATTTTTTTTACAATATGCAATAAAGGTGGAGCTGAGGCACTCTCTTTTTCCTTACTTAATGATTTGGAACAAATAATCAAACACCCTACACACGTTCCTGATCGACACGATCAATTTGCTAACATTCTTGATCTTTGTTTTACCTCTAACCCCTCACACTATTCATACTCAATTTTTTGCCCCCTTAGGGTCTTCCAATCACAACCTTATTTCTATTAAATCAAACTGGGCACGACCACCTCCCCCACCCCCCTCTAAACGTCAACTATGGCACTATCGGAGGGCAAGCTGGCAATCCTTGCGAGAATTCTTCACCGACTTTCCTTGGGATGAATGTTGCTTTTCCACTCGGGATGCCTCAGTATGTGCTGACAGCATTGCTGGGGTTATACAGGGCGGTATGAGTGCATTTATCCCATCTTCTACCAAAACTTTCACATTACAATCATGGTTTGATCGCTCCTGCTCTCTTGCTTGCAGGGTGATAGATAGGGCATATCGAGCTATGAAACTATCTCCTTCTCCTATTACCTACACCTCTTTCATTACTTCTAGGAATCGTTGTAAGGCTATTCTTCGTAGGGCCAAGCGGAATTTTATTAAAAGAAAGACTGCTGTCCTGACTAATTCTTCCTCTAGTAAATCCTTCTGGTCCTTAGCTAAAAACATCTGTAACAACTTCTGCACGCCTTCTTTTCCTCCCCTCTTCCGTCCCAATAACTCTATAGCCAACTCTCCCCCTGAGAAAGCCAACCTCTTTGGCACCTTATTCTCCTCTAATTCCACCTTAGACGATTCCCACTCTACCCCTCCTACCCCTGCACCTCCTACTGAACCTATGCACTTTCCTATAATCTCCACTCGCAGGGTTGCCGGTGTGTTATCCAGGTTGGATGTGAGTAAGGCGCATGGACCGGACGGAATACCCCCTCGTGTTCTGAGGGAGTGTGCTGAAGCCCTGGCCCCTGTGCTTGCTCGCCTCTTTCGCCTTTGCCTCAAAACCAAAACTTTTCCTTCTTGGAAGCATGCCTTGGTTCAGCCCATCCCGAAGAAGGGTGACCATTCTAATCCCTCTAACTATCGCCCCATTGCCCTAACTTCATCCCTCTCTAAGATTTTCGAAACTATCTTGAACTCCCATTTTCTCCGTCACCTTGAAAGCCTTTCTCTTTTGTCGAATCACCAGTATGGCTTTCGCCAGGCGAAGTCTACTGATGATCTGCTCTCCTATTGCACCCATCTTTGGTCATCCTCTCTTAGGGATTATGGGGAAACTTTTGTCGTGGCCCTCGACATCTCCAAAGCATTTGACAGGGTATGGCACAAGTCTTTGCTATCTAAACTTCCCTCTTTTGGTTTCTCTCCCCCACTTTGTTCTCTCATCTCTAGCTTCCTTGAGAATCGATCCATGGCAGTTGTTGTCGAGGGATCGATTTCTCGCTCTTTCTCTACCAATAGTGGCGTCCCACAGGGTTCTGTTCTTTCACCAACTCTCTTTCTTCTTTTTGTCAATGATTTACTTCACACTACAACTAATTCTATCCATTCTTACGCCGATGATTCTACTCTTCACTCTTCCTCACATTTTCCCCTTCCTCCTAACTCTCAAACTAGATCTGTTTCTAGAACTGATATCATTACTTCTATCAACGCAGATCTGTGCAGCATCTCTGAATGGGGAGATACAAACTTGGTTAAGTTCAATAGTAACAAAACTCAATATTTACCAAATACACTTTGTAAAGTAGACGATCTCCCACCAATTACATTTCAGGACGCTATCATCCCCCCAAATTCTGAAATAAATATGTTAGGCCTCACCATTTCCTCCAATATGTCCTGGAAATCACACATCCTTAGTATAACTAAAGCTGCCTCCCAAAAGTTGGGAATACTGTACAGGTGCCGCAGCTACTTCACTCCTGAGCAGTTGCTCCAAGTATATATGGGATTCATTCGTCCTAACTTGGAGTACTGCTCTCATATCTGGGGTGGCTCTTCTTCTGTCCAACTATTAGATAGGGTGGAATCAAAGGCATTTCGTCTTATTAACTCTCCTCCTTTAGTCGACAATCTCTCCCCTTTCTCTTCGCCGCAATGTTGCTTCACTCTCTCTCTTTTACAGGTACTTTAACGGGCAATGTTCAGGGGATTTGGGATCCTGTGTACCGCCGGTAAGGCCGTGGGTTCGTAGCACACGTCTTGCCCGCGGTGCCCACCATTTCTCTGTGGATATCGGTCACACGAGAATAACC